TACTAGCTGCATTGACAGCTAGCGGACTTAACTACTTGCAAACCTAGTTGTGGTTCCAGGGGATAAGGAGGCTTAGACCGCTGGTGGAGGTATCCCTGGGTCCGGAGGCAGGCGTGGTGGCCGAAGTGGAGGGTCGGCGTAGCCTACACGAGGGGGGAGGGAGGGGGGTAGTGAGGAGATCCTTCGAGTGTGCCATTGTAGTGTCTTGGCTGCAAGGTGAGCCCTGCGGGCACCGATGCGTCGATCATGGCCCACGGGGGTGGCATCATGGTATCGGCGTTTGAGCCGGATGTTGTTATTTACCTCGGTGAGGAGGGGTAGTTCCCCTGCGGTGCGTATGTGGTCCACATTAGTAGTGCATGTCGATTGCCAGTGGCGGCGAAGGGCGGCCCAGTGCGCCTTGAACCATTGAGTATGGAGACGAGGAGCGTGGAGGTGGGTGAGGGCGGCTGCCCAGGCTCATGTGGTGTGTGTCATGGTGGGGAAGGTTTTCCAGCCGGAGGTAGCTTGGTAAATAGCCGGAAACTGTGTCGTGAGGTATGCGCGTGTGTCAAAGGCATATTGGTCGTATGTGGGGATGGAGGATTGGACCCAGTGGAGGCAGTGTGTGGGGGCACTAAGTAGTCTTGGGATGGCCGTCGTAGTAGTTTCTTCTGGGCGGAGTTGAGTGGTCGGGGGAGGCCGTCGGAGCCAATGGATAGCGTCGATTAATGTGAGTGCTGATGTCCAGTGCTGCTGGGCCGAGGCGAGTAGGGCTACTGTGTTGCCAGTGGTGAAGAAACCAATGTGGATTGCGGTGGGATTGCCGGAAGCGAGTTTGCCCTAGGTTGGGGTAGGGGTGTGGTATATGGAGGAAACGTGACGGAGTTTGATCTGGCCCGGGGGAATGGTGAGTAGCCATGTTGTTTGGAGCTGGTCAGCCATTTTATGGCCGCAGGAGCCATCGTGTACGACAAACCAGTAGGTGGCCGGTGTTTGGTGAGAGGTAGCGGCTTGTATTGCCGTGGTTTGGAGGCGCCACCAAGTGGAGGTGTATGGGTTGTGTGTGGCATCAATCCACCAGTGATGGTTTGTTGGGGGGCGGGGGATTATGCAGTGGGGGGAGTGTCCAAGTGGGCCCTGAAAAGTAGCACCATTGGGGCTGCCCATCCACTGTCCGAACCAGAAGTCGCGTGGTGCAAGCAGGGGGGTGGAGCGTAGGGCGGTGTGATATAGCCAGCGCGGTAGTAGGGATCCCGGCTTTGGGCACTGGTTCGTTTCCCAGGATAGCTGGGAGGTGGCTAGCATGAGGGATTCTGGTCAGGGGGGTCCAAGGAGGCGTTGCATGTGTATGGCATGTACACAGCGGAGCGCGGTAAGGGGGATCATGCATTTACCCGTGTTGGGTAATGGGTGACCGCCGCGGGTTTTCCATTGTGGGCGTTTAGGTCCAGGCCAGAGTTGTGCTATGGTCGTGCCATGTCCAGGAATGTATATGTCTTGGTCTGGTAGCCAGCCTTGTGGAAGGACCGCTTGTGTAGCGAGAAGGATGTGTTGTGACAGTGCGACGGCCTTGGGGCAGGTGGGAGTTGTGAGGCCGAATCGGTGTTCCTGCGTGTCAGGGAGATCGGGGCACGTGCGGCAGTGGGCCTCCCAGCGTGGTTGTATGCGGTGTTTCCGGGCGTTGGTGTGTAAAGTATAGCATATGGCGCGCCAGTAGAAGTTGAGGGCAGGATGGTCCCATTTACAGATTCCCCGGTGGGGAGTCGGAGTGGCTGAACAGTCCGGCGGGTGTCTGGTTTGCGGGCTTGAACCTTGGACCAATCCCGACGTCCGTACACTGCACCTAGCCATGGGACCGTCGCCCCAGTGACCGGCCTGTCGTGTTCATCACGCAGCTCCCATGAGTCTGGGATAATGAGGTGCGCATAATTCGTAAGTGGAAGAAGCTGGTGGGCTAGGGTGGCAAGTGAGTCCGCTTCGGCGAGCAATAGGCGTTTTGTTCGGAGAGTGGGATCAGTCGTGTCATCGGGGTCCTGGTGCGATTGGGTCCAGTCGCCGGTAAAGGATCCATTGTCTGTGAAGAGCGCCATGAGTGAGCGGAGTTCGACCCTGTAGATATTGCTGTAGCGTGGGAGGCCACCGCGACGTTTGAGGGATCTGGCGAGAACAACCAATCCAATGGCTTTTGTGTTGTCGCAGATTTGGAGCGCAGCATCTCCAGAGTGATGGAGGCCCACTAGCAGGCTATGGAGTTCACAGCGTGTGGGTGTGATGTGGTTGGCGTGTACTTGGATGGACCCAGCGAGGGTAGTACCATCTCTGCCCATGTAACTCCATGTACTTTGCGCGGCCGGGGTTCCTTGGTGCGTGTCGCTGCCGTCACCCACCGCATGGGTACGTACATCCCGTCGGGGGAGGGTATGTAGACCGTACGTCGGTGTGCTGTGGTGCGGAACGACGCGGCAGTGTGGGATGCAGGCCGGGTGATGCCAACCTCCACAATCGCGACAGATGTTAGTGTCCGCTAGGCGGTGACAGGTGGTACAGGCTGGCGTCGCGTGCGGGGGGGGCTGGTGCCCCGTAGCGTTCGGTACCAGGTCAGTAGTTCGCCCGGTAGTTGAGGCAATGATGGTATGATTGTTTTCCCCTTTGTGGGTGATGTGTGTGCGTGGGTTGGTCCAGGCCGTGTCGGTCCAGGGAATAAACTTGAGGCGTTGGGCTCGGCTGGCGGGTAGGAGGCTGCCTGTAAGTACAGCACAGCCCGTAATGGACACAAGGCGGTGTCGGCCTCGTGCTTCGCGCGGTGTTGGGGAGTACCAGATGTCCGAGTCTTTACGTAGTTCATGCCAGAAGGTGATGGCAATCTCCATGCCTTCCTGGGTTTGGCGCGTTTGGAGGCTAGTTCGTCGTCCAATGCGGTAGCTGAGGGTGGGGGGTCGGTTACCCGGTTGAGTTAGGTGGTGTGGGATTACTAGCATGGCGTGAACCGGGATATGTAGAGTTTCGTAGCCCTGTGTGGGGACAAAATATGTGCGATCGAGGGTGTGTGTGAGGTATGGTAGGGACGTGCGGTAAGGGTTTGGCTGTGGGGGAGGCAGGTGTTGGGTGGTAGGATGGGGCCCCCACTGTAGCGTTTGTTGTCGAAGTACCGGTGGGGCGGGTGGCTCAGCCTTGGGGATGGCGTCCCAAATGGGTGCAAACCGTTGGAGCGTGAGATTTGTCCATCCAAATTTTGTACGGAGGGACGGTAGGCTGAGCAGCATGGTGCCCTTGTCATTTGTGATGTCCCCCACCCAGCGTACCTTTTTGGCGTGGAGCTTGTTGATGGAGATGAGGGTTGTGCTCAGGGCCGGTGTAAGGTGAGCCCAGATTGGGCGGTCATTGGGACGAAGCGGACGGCTGGCGGCTGGTTGGTGCCATTGCGTAGTGATGGTGAGGGCGGGCTGGAAAGTGGCAAGGTCCCGGAGCATCGTGCCTAGAAGTGTGCCATCTGCGGCAGGTGGGTGTATGCGGAAGGCGAGGGGGTGGTCAGTAAGCCCGCTATCCAGTTGGTAGGCCTCGAGTGATTCCATGAGGAGGTCATGTGTAGGGTAGCCACGGTCGTTGGCAATACCGATGAAGTGGTATAAGCGTTGGCTGTGGCTGAAACGTTCACAGTGGACCAGTCCCAGTCCATCGGTTGGGTCATAGAACCACTCTGTGGGGTGGTCGTGGGGTAGCTTGAGGACCCGGCGCGCCGTCTTACGGAATAGGGTGTCAAGGGCTGGTGCGATGCTGATGGCATCACGGATGGCCGTTCGGTAGAGAACACTCGGTATCCAGACTGAGTTGATGATGTACACTAGTTCTTTCTTTCTTAGCCCCCGGGGGGCTATGGCATCGGCTTGGGTGTTGAGTCGCTACCATACCGCACGCGTGGTCTCTTCCCATTGGTTGTCGGTGCCTTGATGTATACCTAGATGACGGAAACCCTCTGAGGGTGCGACCACGCGTATGGGTTGTGGAACGCCAAGCCCGTCGTTGAGGGCAATGGCTGGGTGTGCATGGGGGGATAGGTAGAGGAGGAAGGATTTGTCAGCACCGAATACTCCGCCGGACGCGGATTGGCCGGTGAAGGTGTTGGAGATGCGTGCTCGGTCTTGTATGCCAGCATAGGTGGTCGCAATGTCGAGGGCGTCATCCACGAATAAATGGCTGGAGATGGTGCGGGTTTGGGCACCCTGAGGGTGTTGGCTGTGCACAATGCGGACTGGGTCAAGGCCACTGTGTTGCTGGCGTAGGAGGACGTCCATACATCGGCATCCCCTTCCAACAATGGACGCAGAGCATAGGCCTTGTCACCTCCTTCCGTCACCGCCACCCTAACCTCCAACGGCACACACACACCCGCAACAACACGGCCGTCGCTCTCGATGACATCTACATCTCAGCCCGAACAGCCCACAAAGTGGGAGCCAGTGGCATCTGGCTGCACACACTCCACTCCAGCGACCATGCAGGCACTCCATATATGGCCCTAGACCTGTGCCCTGGCGACCACACCCCATCACGACTTACTGGGGTCAAACCCATCCGCGTTGTAAACACCCGCAACCTTGCAAAGGCTGACATAGCATCCTTCGGTGTACACACATCCAAACTCCTCAGCGAGGGCAAACTACCCCAACCCACCCCAGCACCCCCCCTAACGCCGCCACAGCATGGCCCCACCAGGAAATCGGGGACTGGCTCGATGGCGCCATCCGCAACCTGTACGACATCCTCTACAACATCGCGAAACTCAAATGGGGCGAAACCAGTCAAACTAAGAAAGCCCTCAACAGGGCAGAAGCGATACAGCGAACCAACCGGTGCACCGCACAGCTACGCCAACTGCTGCGCCTCCACGAGGCGGCCCCGCGCACTGGCACGGAATACACCCGCCTCGCCCACCTAGTGGAATGACCCAAGTGGATCCGTGACCCCACCCTTCTCCCACCCACGTGCTGGCACCGCGCTGATGCTATTGCCATAGGAGAATGGTGGACTACCATGCCGACCACACAGCACCCCACTCCCGACTGGGACCACTGGCTCAGACAGGGCCTCGCACGATGGACCAAGGTCTGCCGCAAACGTCGGGACTGGCGAACTACCAGCCTACGCCTAACACGGATTCAACAACGTACGGCATGGTTTAACCGTAGTCAAACCCGGAAATTTCTCCGCTCGGCCCTGGGCAATACTACACCGCCCATCTCTATACAAAGCGTAATTGTCCGTCCAACCGATGGACCTCCGCGATACAGCTCCAACCGCGATGAAGTGGCTGCGGGCCTCCCCCACCTTCTGGACAACTGGATCCCCCCGGCAGAAAAAACAACGCGTCCCAGGCACCTCCACTCAGGCCTTGAAACCGACCGCGAAAATGTCTCTATTTCGTCCGCGACTGGCTACTCCAGGACATGGACCGACCTGACGAAGTTGCACAAGCCTTCCAATCCTCTGCGGGCACTACCTGGGACACCTACCACTACGATGAAGACATGCAAGCCCGCTGCGACAGCAGCCTCCGCACCCGCGTATCCCCAGGATATGGGGGCGTCTCCCAGGAACTCTGGATCGCTGCCCCTGCATGCATACGAGCAAGGGAACGGGTGATCATCAACCTCATCCTACGCACGGGCATAGTCCCGCCGATACTCGGA